TAGATCAGTTTCTTGAAGTATCACAGTATCATATCGTTGCCCATTCTTGCGTTCTCAGGGTTGCGTACACAGCTGATTTCATAGCAGAACAGTGATAAATCACTACTGCCAAGATGAGTTCTTAAGAAAAGCTAATAAAGAAAAAAAAAAACAGTGCTACATGATAGAGAAAACAGAGAACGAGGAATGAACACCATAATGCACTGGGCTCAATCTGTGAGCAGGGATACACAAATGTGAAAGTATGATCTGTAGTTTTAACAAAAGCCCTGGAGCTGTCAAAAGTCAAACAAAAACGTGTAGTAATTACTGAAGGAGATTGGCCTCATTAAGCAGGTGGTCTACCGGCTTTTTTTCGAAGGCTTGGGTTACACTTTCTTTTAAGGTGTCCTTGTTACAGTTTAACTACACATTTAAGTACTGAGTAATATTAATTAACTACATGTACTTGTTATATGGTTAGGGTTAGGATTAGGGTTATTTGCATGTAATTATGCATAATTTATTGTTATTATAATAATAAGTACATGTATCATTTGTAACAAGGACACTTTAAAATAAAGTGTTACCAAGGCTTGAATGTGTTTATGGGGTGCACTGTAACATGTGTTCATGCTTCGTTTTTTTTTTTTTTTATTGCATTATTTTTCACATATTTTACCTTTATTCTACACTGGTTTTCCGTTCTCCGTTTTCCATAAAAACGGCTAAGGCAAGAAGGGATAGAGCTGTGGTTACTGGGCATGCACACATCAATATAGCTTAATTTTTGTCACACTGAACAACAATAATTACTATTTTTACATTATTGTAAGGGGTAGGCTTAGGGTTGGGTTAGGTGTAGACGTTAATAAAACACAATCTAATAGGTAGAACATTAAATTTCATTGTTAGTTTCTGGTCGGAGCTGTATCCCTTAATATAGCCTTAATACATAAAAACGGTCTGTTGACTTCCTGGTTTTTCCGTCATAAATACGCAATGGGCTCAGATTGGTGAGCTGGCCCAGTGTGTTGTGATTGGCTAAACGCTTAGTGCACATTGTCCGGAAACGTCACGCCTCTTACCATAAAGGGTAGTTGCATGTAGAGGTCTACACGGAGGACCCGAGACCCGAGGACCCGGGACCCGATCCGGGATCCGTGCGGGTGCGGGGCTATGTTTTAAATGGTCAGCCGGGTCCGGGTCGGGTCCCAATCTATTACTTCGGGCCCCGGGTCTGTTTAACATTGTGTGTAATACCCGAGTCGAGAGAACACCCGGCCGTTATCAGAGTCAGTCAGCACTGTGCGTGTGTTGTTTTGTAACTTTCAACTTGTAAAATTAGGATGAGAAAAGTGTGAGTCTGTAATTTGAAATAAGGTGGGAAAAAAATTTATAAAATAAAACACGAGCGACGTCATCAGAAGCAGGGTGGGCGGAGTTCATGCACACGCACGGTGATAATGGATACCTTCATGAGTGATGTGAGTTATTATTGATTATTTTTTATATAATATTATGAATGAACTGTCTTGTTGTTATTTCTAAAATTTTTGCTAGGCTCAGAGAGCACAGAGATGATAGCAAATAAGTAAAGCTAACGTCAGCAGGCATGACTGGACAAGCAATCATTATTATAATCCAAATGGGCAAACAGTCTTAATTATTATGCAAGTTGACTCGAGATACAAAAAATGCAAAACTGCAAAGTCGCATTTGTCATCCGTCACCGTGACAGCAAGTGGACTTTTGAAACTGGAATAATTGGATTACGCATTTCAATTGGCAAGAGAGGAATAAGACGGATGGAACTTTCTTGGCAAGGAGGATTGTGTGCATCACAGTCAGGTACAAGGGAGAAGGCTTCTTACATTAGGTAAGACTAAAAGTTAAATTTTAGCAACTTGTTTATCGACTTGTTAATAGCAATTTGCTGTGGAATATGTACCGATCGGGTCCAGTCGGGTCTGTGTCTTCCCGGCCGGGTTCGGGTCCATCTTTCAAATAATTGACGGTCCGCGTCGGTTCCAGGAAGTACAACTTTTAAAATAATTTTTTGGACCAATGTAGACCTCTAGTTGCATGTGATCTGGTTGTAAACAATGGCGCAAATATTGCCTTATCAATCTGAGCCTGAGTCAGACCCAGAGAATATAGTGAAGAGGATCGAGCAGAACCTATGCAAGCACAACTCATATACAGTAGGACGTCTCAGAATGGTATGGTTTTTGTAGTTTTCTCATATTTTTTAGATATGCTGTTATTTGTAAATGTTATTGCTGTTTATGTTGTCTTTTGATATACATTTTTATACTTACTAATGCTTTAGTACTAAAGTTTACTACAGTTCTGGAAGGGGTTATTTGATTACAGATTGTGGATCTACAGTGATCGCTACTGACTGCATAGCACTGTTAGTTTTGTCTTTGTAGAATGAGTGTAGCCAAATATATGTCGTCAGAACTATGGACCTTTACGAAGACTAACCATGGCTTTACTACAGTGGCCAAATCAAACACAGAACCACATGTAGCGTGCCTGTAGCTAAACGAGCATAACAGCTATACTTTATAATATACTCTACTACAACAACTCTTCCTTTTCTCTAAAGCAGCCCCACCCCCTCTGTTACGTATTCCCAAGAGGCGGGGTTTATGTAAATGTCAGGGTTTGTGATGTCCCTAACCCAGGAAATAGCTTGTTGTAGTCCCTACCAGCCATTTGTTGTAAGTCTTACAAAGTGAATTCTGTAAAAGACAATTTCTCACTTTGCATTGAACTTTGAGCGTCGAACTAGGTAGCGCTTGACAAGTTAGGTGAGGCTTAAACATTGTTACAAACTGTCCATTTAGTTTTCATTGTCATGGACTTTTAGTTGGTTTTGTTTCATTTCCTGTTGTCTTTGTTCAAGTTTCCCTCTCTATTTAGTTACTACGGCAATTCATTTGATTATCACACCTGTTCATTATCTGTGTATACGTAAGTTCCTTGGATTCCTCAGCTCATTGTCAGGTGTTTGTGTTTAAGTGCACACTGTTACATTGGCTTTGCTACCCTGTGTTTATTCTTTGATTAAAAACCATTCGTGCCGGAAACTTGGACCTGTCTTTATGTTTGGGATTGTCGTCACAAAGATGGGTTTAAAAAAGATTTGCGGAATACATTTTTGGCATTTATATTTGAATAAATACCCAGGTTAAGTCTGTTCATCACATAAAGCAATCGTGTCTCTTTAGAAGTTTTGGATAAAACCTCTTGATTCAAATGGATTACATTTACAACGTTTTGGTTGCATTTACTTTAACTGGGGGACAGAAATCTGTCAGGTTTCCTTCAAAATATCTTATTTTTTTGTTTTGAAGAGGAATACAAATCCGATGGGTATGGAATAACATGAGGAGGACATGAGGTTCAACTAACCCGTTAACCGTCGCAACTCAATTGTTAATGCAGTACCATTCATTTGTCCTGACTCAACAACACAAAACAGTCCGTCAGATGAAGTCTCAGGACAGAGGCCGGATCACTCACCATGTTGATGTGCAGTGGTCCAGATCCTGGTCTAAACCGTTTCCGTCTGTTGGATCCTGTGCTGCTGTTCCTCATGCGGAGAACGACTGATTTAGCCATGGTTTTAGCTGCAGGACAGATTGCTAGTATAAGCCAAAGTGCTCTATACAAAAAATTCAGACCACAACATGAAACTGTAATCAGGACTATCAGGGAAACCTGAGAGTGTAAAGCTAACTTTACACTTGAATATGCTGTTGAACAGTGATGGGCTACAGTATGTGCTGTACTGTATCTCTGCATGTGAAGCACCACTCGGCTGTGGTTTTGGCCTGCGCTGTACCTGGAGGAGTGAGCATGTGTGTGAGGGCCATGGGCTCCAGGGCCGACAGTGCGGTGGGCAGCGGCAGAGAGCGACACCGCTGGAGCAGAGCTTTGAGAGGAGGATCTGCAGGCGACTGGCCCCGGGGCCGCGACAGGGTCTGAAAATCACTGTAGCACGTCAGGTAACCTTACAACAACACATTTCACATTGCACTGCATCCAGAGCATCTCCTACAGTAGTATACATCAATAGTGGAGTGGGGTTAGTCAAGTGAAGAACAGCATCTGAAAACAGTCAACAAGGTTTGGCTATTGTTCACACAGGCAGACCTAACAAACAAACCGTTGGTTTTTTTCAGCTTTTTCCAGTCTAAACATGGAGTTCTGATGTACAAGCCTGCTGGAGGTGTCTTGAAATTAGATTAAAATATGATTTTAGTTAATGTATCTTATTCTGAACAGTCAGATCAGATTTGATGTGTTTTTTCGTAATTCGTCGCAACAAGAATAAAATCAGCGCACACAGGTACTGGATGCATGGAATCAGTGTGAGGACACCCCTTCCAATTTCAGTTATAGGGCTATTAAATTAACTGTTAAACACTTTACTGTTTTATACTACAATCAAATATGCATTAGTCACTTAATTTCCCTTTTTCCAATGTTTTCTTCAATTTTAATGAAAATAAATGATATTTGATGGGAAAAGGGAGAAGAGTGAGATAGGGAAAATGTGTATTCATAGTATTTGGTGGGTGGGTTGAAAAAAAAGCTAAATCCACTGTCCCAGTTTTTTTTGTTTTTTCCCGGCTTAAACAGACAATGGTAGGTGGAGTTAATGTAAAATAGACACTCCATTTTGAATATAACATCATCATAATTTAGCTTTTTCATTAAGTCAGTGTTTTTCAACCCTGTTCCCGGAGGAACACCAACCTCCTGTATCTGACCCGTGTATTTCTGGGCTATGTTCCACTTTTTTATGCCCTTCCCTCACTAACTTCCCTCCGTCTCGGAGACTCGGATGTATGTCATTGATTATGTTGCACAAGTGACCACTGCCGCCAACGTACTAAACCCTTGATCCACCATGGAGCTGATTCATTATTTAAGTTTTTTGTTTGATGCATCATTCTGTGTGCCTATAGCTATGCTTGGGCTGTTGGAGAAAATATATAAAACTACACAAACTAATAAAATATCAATATATGAACAGCGCCTATGCTTATCCTCCTCCTTCTGCCTTCCTGTTTCTATCTCATCCTGAGGTCACTGGAGTTTGGATCGAGTCTCGCTTGTGAAAACTTCAGATAATGCCCTTTCTTGATGGACATAAACAACCGCTAAATATTGTCCTTATATTGTAATCATTATGATCACAAGCTGCAATCATTGGCTTAATAATGCATACATCATTTTGCCTGATTAACTGAATACATGTCTTTAACTAACCACATGTGTATTTTAGCATCTTGAGGTATGTATTTTTGCCATATGGACATCACCTCTGGACACAGGACACTTCTTTATTGTAACATTGAAGCAATCTCTATTATTCTGTTGCACATAATTGAAGAGTTAATCTTTGTTTGACCAATTAGCGGGAAAGGGTTAGTTTTAGGTCTGCCCATATGTGGAAAACAAATATTCAGGCTCAAAAAGTGCCATTTTCTAGTTTAATTTCAAACTATGAAAACAGACATGGACCAAACTGCCCATAATGCACAAAAAGTCGGGCAGATTTAAGGAAAGAATCAGATTGTGTGAACAAAGGCAATGCAACACTCATTAAACCAACTAGAAAATGCACACTTGTGACTCATTACTAGGCTGCCACTGCTGTATTCACAAAACTACAGGTCTTTAATCTTAGTCAGTCACTAATATAAAGTTACAGGTTACAAAAGAGGAAGATGCCCGTAAGTAATTCTGCATGAGATTATTACTTAGATTAGTTTGGGATCAACACACATACTCTACATCATAGATGGGCAACTTCAGGGTCACTGCCCTCCATCCCTAATCAAACACACCAGCTTGTAATTTGATGGTTTTAATTAGATTTGTTTTCAATTAGGGATGGAGCTAAACTCTGCAGTACTGGAGTGGCCAAGCCTGCCCTACACAAAGCTGCTTCAACTAATATTAATAATAATAAATTAATATGGCCAGATCTTTACCAATGTTATGACTGTGTTTGAATTCATTTCATTGACTACAAAATTATTTCGTTGTGCAAACATGTTAGTAGTGGTGTGATAGCAATGTTAGAACACAAGGTAGTGAAAGAATGTCAGCTGTGACAATATACACTAGCATTAGGACAGAATACTTCTTCGCAAATGCTTCTTTAAAGTCAGCATGAAATCAAAAAGACATTGTCTGTTCACTAATACACATTCATGGATGTTTGTTTTTGTAATCTTTCATCAAAAAGTAATAATTTCTAATACTTTTCAGCTGATCACACCAATCCTTCTTATTTTATCATGACATAGAGACCACTTTTCATAATCCAATCTGCTATCCATGGACAAAATCAAGTCCTGTGCTATATTTTCATCCCGTTTCACCAAGAAATATGCATGTTATGGAAATAATATAGGTTATAGATTGACAATCAAACAGCTTGGATGTTGAAACAACTCAGTGTTACTCAAAACGTCACCTTTCTTCACCAAATGTCACCAGCTTGTATTACCTTAAACACGTCCTCCGGGCAGTTCATCTTTTTCCCATCCGTGCAAACATCTTGGTTTTCATCAACAGCTTTGCTAGATGAGTGATGTGGGATCTCCGTGATTTCAAAGCCAGTCTGTGTCTCTTTTGGTGGCTCTGGTTCTTCAGATCTCGGGTGGCTCTCGATGGTGGCTAGAGAGATGTGAGTTGAGCTGAGCTGGGACTGCGATTCGTCCGAGTTATTACACAGGGAGCTGTTATCTCTCGGAGAGTCTGGGCATGTTCTCCAGGCCTTCAGCACCACAGGAGGAGAGCAATCCACCATGGCATTAACAGGCGAGACCGCCTTGATCATGTCAGCTGATAACGTGGGTTTAACTTGAACTGAGGTATCGGCTTTCTGCTCGCCGCTCCTCACTGTCAAAGGCACGAGTTCTCCTGACTCCTGCGTCTTTCTAAATCCGAGAGGCGACTGCTGGTCTTCAGGGGGGGAGAACGAGCGGGACGAGTTTCTCCATTTCATTGCAGTCTCAGCCACGGTGTTGAAAAATCGGAGAAGGCCTCGAAAATGGCTGCTTTTGCCATGAATCCCTGTTTGTTCAGGTGCAGAGTTCAAATCCTTGACCAGTTCAAAGTTGACCGAGCCGTAGTCAGAATCGATGGTTTTGTCCAGGGCATTCATTGACTCAAAACTACTCTCTGCTAGCGTCTGACTTCCCTTTTCTTTGAGGGAAATTCTTCTCAAGTAATTCAAAACGTCCCCCCCTCTGGCCCATCGTCTTCTTTGAGGTATCTTGAGGCTTTGCTTCGCAAAGCAGTCTTCCTGTTCTGTCGAATTGTTGTAGTTAAAGAAGCTGGGGTGAGATTTCTTTGTATAAACGACTCTTTCTGACAGCTTACAGCCGTTTTGGTTGCTAACGGTGTCTTTGGTCTCCTGCTGGACATTGTCTGGGGTTTCAGCAGGGGCGATGTCCTCAAACGAACAGTAGAAGTCTGCAGTGTGTCCTGCAAATGAATGTCTCTTGGCTTTATTCCTAAACACATGCTTGAAGTCTGAAGAAGGAGAGTCCTTGCACATGTACACATCATCAGCCTCGTCTTTCAGGTCAGTGTTGAATTTGGCATCAGATATCTTACCGGCTTTCCCTCTAAAAACAGACGAGGACTTCAGTTTCTTGAAGGGCCTGACTTTGTTAGTGATGGACAGTTTGAGGAAGGACGCTTCATTGGGGAGGATGACAGAGTGAGGTCGTCTGTCCAGATCCCAGGGGGTTTTGCGGCGCTGCAGGATCCTCCAGATGGCCGCCGTCCTGGAACGCCGGACCGGTTCCTGTTTTTCTCTTCTGAGCGTCTGACCGGGAATAATGGAGTCTGAGGAATTGCACTCTGGAATCCATGAGATCTCAGCTTTGCTCTCTTCGTCAACTGAAACGTTGAACACGCTATTGACAAATCCATTGGAGAGACTAGACTCTGACGCAGGGCTGGTTGCGCTATCCATCCTCTCGCATTTTAAGAAAAGATGTCAGGTGTCCAGCTTAGGAAGCATAATTTTTATCATCATTGGCGAAGTCTGTGATAAAACAAAACCACACGCTATGGGAGATTAATGTGTCTAATGTAAAGTACATTTATTTAGCAAATTACCTATTTAACATTTTTACATTCAGATGGCATTCAATCATGTCTCCTAATAGACTCGTATGCCCATTAAAGTCACATTAAAGACAAACAAGAATACTTTTACACTTGTTCCAAAACCATATCCACAATGAATTAAATGTAGCAGTCTATCTACCATAAATCACCTGTACTTTCTCCTGCATCATTTATATATAGACTAATACCTGATAACATAGTCTTTAGTTTAAATTCAAGTTATAGATGTAGCTTAATTAAACACACACACACACACACACACACACAGGTTTGTTTTTGTGAAAAGTGGGGACATCCCATAGGTGTAATGGTTTTTATACTGTACAGACCGTATATTCTATTGCCCTACACCAACCCTACCCCTCACAGGAGACTTTGTGCTATTTCAGATTTTCAATACACTCCATTCTGTGTGATTTATAAGCGTTTTGAAAAGTGGGGACATGGGGTAATGTCCTGAAAAGTCACCATCTCCTTGTAATACCTGTCATACCTTTGTCATTATACAAATTTATGTCCTCATTTGTCACAAAAATGCGCGCTCTCTCATACACACACATACAAACACACACAGGCTATACACTACCGTTCAAATGTTTGTGGTCGAAACATTTCCATTGCAAATAAATGCTGTTCTTCAAAGTTTCTGTTCATCAAAGAAAACTGAAAAAAATGACACACTGTATCATTAAGCAGCACTGTATCACATTTTTCATGAACTGTTTTCAGCAGTGAATAATAATAATAACAATAACTATAATAATAATCATAAAAAACCTCTTAAGGATCATGTGAAAAAAGCTTAAGAAAATAAGAACTTAAAAATCCCAATACTATTTCAAAATATTAAAGTTCTTGACTGTACTTTTGATCCAACCTTTAGTCTTCTTTCAAAAAGATAATATATATATATATACTGTATATTACTGACTCCAAACTATATATGAATATACAATAAATTACAGCCAACATAAAAAGTGTGATTTCAAACTCTAATCCTACTAGAATGTTCGGTAACACTTTATTTGAAGTACCAATTCTTGCTGTTAACTTGTTGCTTATTAGCATGCATATTATTAACATATTGTCTGTTTATTAGTGCTTATAAAACACATATTCTGCATGAGCATATTCTATATCCCTAATCCTTCCCAATACCTAAACTTAACAACTACCACACTAACTAGTAATGTGCAGCAAGTTAGGAGTTCATTGAGTGAAATGTTGTAGTTAGTAGTTAGTTAATAGTGAGAATTGGTCCCCAAACTAAAGTGTGACCAAATGTTCATACTTCTACATAATCTGAATGTTCACTTAATCAAAAACAAGACTGTTATGTTATGTTATGAACCCACACATCAGGAAATTCCTATTCTTTGATAAGAAAATGTATCTGGGGGACTTACCAAAGTAGAATGTTTGTCTCATAGAAGAACAGAAATCGTTCTCTGCGAATCCTTTAGCATCAGCAGTGGTTTTCCAATATAATGATTTGTCTGACTGTTAATCCACAGCATTCTCCAGGAGCGCTGGAGGGTTTTCTCAGCCTGAAGCCCCACAGAGACCGAGCAGACGCCACAAACACACACGCCCAGTTCCTCTCATTAAGACGCAGCTATTTCTGCCAGTCTTCCACTGCAACTACAAAGACTCCAGCTCCAGACGGAGCGCAGCGTTTAGCTGGGTCAGTCGCGTTTACATGCGGAATCAGATGTGAATTTGAAACTGAACTTTAAACTGAATTCAATGGCGAGAGTGTTTGTCAGGGCAGCGGTGAGCGTCATAATCTCCATAGTAAATGAACACAATACACAAGACCAAGGGTCGAAATTTGAGGGCCTATTATAAGGACTATTCCTTTTTGTCCTGTTTCAGTTCTACTGTAATCACATGGCTTTTTCCTGCTGGACACAGGAAAGAGAGGATCTTACACAAGTGCTTTAAGCTTGACAAAGACAGGAAGCCTGGCTGACAGCATGTAAATATCTGTGCCGTACACTCTTTCCCTTCTGTCTGTGCCGCATGCGCCATTGTGAGGGAAAGACAATTGGGTTTTCTTTCCCCTTGTGAGTCAGTACACTCCAGTTTGTCAACATGATAGGGCCACAATATCCGCTGGAGCATGTCGCTGGCGCTCTGTATACATATCCAACACGCATATCACGCATTCAAAGGCCTTTTACTGGTATCAACTTTTCTTCACGAGCGTTTCTACTTAAAGAAGATAAAAGGCCATGAAGCGGGGCTCACGTTCAGCCCACTTCCAGTGCAGCTTTCCTGCTATCCATTTCTGTCACAATGCACATCCTGCATAAGAAAAAAGCGTCACTTTTTGTTTTTCAAAACCAAAGGCAAGACTAAACTCTTGTGTGAATGAGCTGGGGAAAAAACGCTGATAAGGGGATCAACGGGAGAGTGACCAGGCTTTGACTCACAATTAAAGCAGGTTTTCTCAGCTGTATGATCTCTATTTCTGACTGTTGTCCAGAAAGCACCTCGTGTGATGTCATCACTTTTTATATCGCAGAACAATTGCCGTCTTCCTTAGTTTCCTGACACAGATCTACAGCTTGATAGTGCAGGCTCAACAGCAGCTAGACCTCAAACTGCTCCACCAGTGATTGTCCGATGATGAAGTTAAAAGCGCTATAAAACACTCGCATTATATGGTGATGGATCTTAATCTTGCTTCTTTGCAAAAGGCATTTATTAAGTCTTGCTCTACAAGTTGTTATATCTGTCATCTTAAAAAAGTGTATTTTTTTTCTGAAGTGCGTGTTTGGAGCGTGGCTGGGGAGATCATTTATAGACGCAGTCTCTTGAAACGTCATCTGAATGCCATTGCTCTAATCAGTTTGTTTATTTCATGTGGCATTGTGTGCCACAAATGAGCTTCTAATGTCAGTAACCCAAAGACTATTAATAGGTGTTTTACAGCAGGATATGATTTGTGTTGTTTATTGTTGCACTGCTGTCGCTCGTTTTCAACCACTTTCAGTTCAGGAATTTAAAGTTCAATTAAGATCGAGTGAAACATCACTATTTAAGACAAAGTTATGTCTTATAAATAGTCTTATAATATCTGGTTTTGGGTAGACCGGAAATGGGTGGAGCTTAGACCGGACGTTCGTTGAATGACATAATAAGTGCATTTAAATGTAATTCTGTTACCTTCACAGTTTATTCTTCTTCTTTTATTAACATTTCTTTAAATTATTTCTAATTAACACACTAAAACTAAACATTAAATAAATACATTTGATATGCACTGATTTCATTCATTATTGTGTAGTTATTTTAGAGGTTTAATAATACAATATTATGATAATATAATATTGTAATGTCCTCTGGCTCACCTGTTATCCAGCAAACTCCAATAGTGACTGTGTCGGTCTAATATTTCTCCTATTATTTGTGGGTATTCAGCTTCGGGCGCATGCATTTATGCAGGCCGTTGGATTTCTTTCACACCAGACTATAACCAGAGATGTTCTTATCATAGGATATACCAACCTCCATGCCTTAATCACTGAATAAAATGCTAAGTTAAACTCACATGTGCCTTGCTAACACATTAAACCACAATATAGCCCTTTAATGCACTGACTGCCATGCTGTCAAACTCTGAGCAATTCAATCAGTGTTTGAGGACACCATAGAAACGACGTCCAACCTGGCACAAAATAGTCTGTGACTTCTCTTATGAAACAGCATTTCTTTTATTGTACACTACGAAATTAGACCAATCCAAAATAAATGTTAAATTGCAAACATGTGCCGCCACTGAAATGCACTCAAAAAAAAAAGGATGCATGAATGCATTTTTTTTTCAATGACAAAAGGTAATAAAGTGTGAAAACAGGTTAGAAACACAAAGGAAAGTGAAGGGTATTTAACAAGCAACTGATTAACTAGAGTAACTACACCAGGGCTGGGCAACTTCGGTGTGTTTGATCAGGGTTGGAGCTCAAATCTGCAGGACAGTGAACTAGAGTAACTATGGTACATAATGATCATGTGGTGACAGCGTCCTCTGCCGGCAGTGCTGAGATTGACGACAAGGTGTTATGCCCAGAGGCTACGCCTGATTTTTGAGCTAAGTAGCATTTTAAAATGCATTTTTGATGCGTTGCACGAGCATTGTATGCAGTGTATATTTGATTAAGTTGTTACTACAACATTTTTTAAAATAAATTGAACACTGCAAAACGACGGCATTATGTAAATGCAACCTTGTCCACATATGTACAGTACGGTCAAAGGCAAACTATCCTGCCAGCTATAAACTGTTCAGTGTGGACTGGCATTAAAAGCATTAACATGAATCAACAGTAACATCATGGATTTCTTAAAAGCTGCACTGAAACAATGTGAATTGTGGACTTGATTAGTGTGACAAGAGTTTATTTATGTCCAAATGCAACAAACTGAATGCAAATCATGTAGTAAACGATTGTTCTAGGACACAGTGAATGAACAGTGAAGTCTCTGAAGAGTGATGTTTAAGCATTGTTTAAAGCTATCGCATTCTAGAGGCAGAATTCCCCTTCACATCTTTAAGTATTATATTATTCAAATAAACCACGTTATATATATATATATATATATATATATATGGCATATAACCTTTAGTAAACTTCAACATTATCACATGTATAATATAATTCATAATAATCAACATGTATAAAATACTTCATAAATGGATTTCAGTCTTGCTCATTGAATATTTCACAGTAGCTCAGGGAACCACAGCAAATCATCTTGTCCAAGGTCCACAAGTAAACTTTTGTCATCATTTCAACCATTAGAGGGCAGAGTTTTTCTTTCACATTAATTTACTTTACATCAAGAAAAGAACATGACCTACTCCATTGTTGCATTAACCACATACTCCTAAATATTTTAGCAAAATAATAAAACAATCCATTAAATGCTACATTATCTGTAGTATTTAGAATTCTAAATACAGAAAATATTACAAATGCATATTGCATATTACAACGTTTTACAAAAAGGGAAATTAATATTCGTCACATCGTCAGATATGTACTCCACATCAGAAGAGAAAATGTAGGAAAATCAGGATACATGATTCAAATAGTCCTTCAGTATTTTGGGAATATCCAGACAATCTATGCAGCACATTTTGTTTTCCATCGGAAGGAACATCCAGAAAGAAAGTCGAGCCTGAGACATCAGTGTTTTTGGATAAACTGCGTATAGAGAGGATTTGATGTTACAGTCACATATGAATGAATGACAGCATGAAAGGTATGAAAGCAAAGCACACACACACACACACACACACACACACACACACACACTCGCTCTCTCTCTCTCTCTCTCTCACACACACACACACTCTCTCTCTCTCTCTCTCTCTCTCTCTCTCTCTCTCTCTCTCTCTCTCTCTCTCTCTCTCTCTCTCTCTCTCTCTCTCTCTCTCTCTCTCTCTCTCTCTCTCTCTCTCTCTCTCTCTCTCTCTCTCTCTCTCTCTCTCTCTCTCTCTCTCTCTCTCTCTCTCTCTCTCTCTCTCTCTCTCTCTCTCTCTCTCTCTCTCTCTCTCTCTCTCTCTCTCTCTCTCTCTCTCTCTCTCTCTCT